CATTGGGAAGGGGCGAGATGGGAAAGGGGCGATGTGGCAATGGGGCAAATTGGGAAGAGGCGATGTGGCAATGTGGCGAATTGGGAAGGGGCGTGATGGGAAAGGGGAAATAGTGCGAATTGGGAAGGGGCGAGATGGGAAAGGGGCAATGGGGAGAATTGGGAAGGGGCGAGATGGGAAAGGGGCGATGGGGCGATGTGGCAATGGGGAGAATTGGGAAGGGGCGAGATGGGAAAGGGGCAATGGGGCGAATTGGGAAGGGGCGAGATGGGAAAGGGGCAATGGGGCAAATTGGGAAGGGGCGAGGTGGGAAAGGGGCGATGTGGCAATGGGGCAAATTGGGAAGGGGCGAGATGGGAAAGGGGCAATGGGGAGAATTGGGAAGGGGCGAGATGGGAAAGGGGCAATGGGGAGAATTGGGAAGGGGCGAGATGGGAAAGGGGCGATGTGGCAATTGGGAGAATTGGGAAAGGGCGAGATGGGAAAGGGGCGATGTGGCAATGGGGCGAATTGGGAAGGGGCGAGATGGGGAAGGGGCGAAATGGACAAGGAGCAAAATGGGAATAATTTAGGGCCAAATTGGGAAGCGGTGGAATGGGAAGGTACCGTAGCTTTGTGCATATGACGATAACACCTTTTAATCTTGTTTGCTTTGCTCTGTGTTGCAGTGGTACAAAGCAGGAAGGGTTACATTTCTGTTGAGATGTGTGCAGTGAGAGGATCAACAGTGGACATACGCTGCAGCTACAGAGCTCCGTCCACAAGGAACAGAAGCTCCGTCTCAGTGAAGAACGTCCTCTGGTTTACTGACACTCAGGAGGAGGGACCTGTGGACCTGAGCTCAGACTCGGAGTACGCAGGGCGAGTGAAGTATTACTGCGACAAGAACACCTGCACCTTAAGGATCTCAGACCTGAGGGAGAGCGACTCAGCTGAGTACAAGTTCAAATTCAAGGACAAACCCAGCAAGAGATTCACCCGATCAGGAGTCACTTTATCTGTCACAGGTAACACTTTTTGTATTTGTAAAATGTGCGCCATCTAGGAAACATTTTAGGAACCTCAACTTTAGTTTAAAGTTTCAAGGCTTTTGTTGTTATGTGTACATAGCTACAGTTATGACAATGAATATCGTAGGTCACAGGCTCCTCCAAGTTTTTCATTGTCATAACTGTAGCTATGTACAAATGACAATAAAAGCCTTGCATGTTGAATCATTAAAAGTATGTTAATTATTGTGTGTTTATCCTGCTCCACAGGTCCAGATGTGCAGGTGCAGATGAGCAGATTGTATATTTCCTGGGTAGAGCTGCAGTGCAGAAGCTCGTGTCATCTACCTGATCGTCCTTCGTTTATCTGGTTCAAGAACGGACAGAAGATTCAGCAGGAAACATCTTCTTCTTATTCAGACTACTTTATTCCTGCAGACAGTTATTCCTGTGCTGTAAGAGGACATGAGGAATTCCCTGCCCCTTCAGTGTGTGAGTTTACTGCAGTCTTTTATCAACATGACGCCACCTGGTGGAGTATTTTCACAGTTTTTACTGATTTAAAAATCACTTTATATTTCAGGTGTCAACAGTCAAACCTGCAACAGAGTGATTTACACTGAGAGAAGCATCTGCGCCCCCAAAGGATCATCAGTGGACATTTCCTGCACGTACAGCAGTTATAAAGATGATGTTAAATCTAAGTTCTGGTTCAGTCCTGAGCGTAGTCATCAGGGACAGAATCCCTCTCAACCTGAGGACCTTAGTGAAGACTCCCAGTATGCAGGTCGTGTTCAGATCCTTGAGACAGAGAGAGGACGCTCCACTCTGAGGATCTCTGACCTGAGAGACTCAGATTCAGCTCAGTATCGCTTCAAATTCAAAACACCAGGCTTTGAATGGAGGAGTTATTTAGCTGGAACAACTCTGACTGTCACAGGTACTGATCAACACACACTGATTCAGAAAACCACTGTTCATTTAAAACATGTTTGAAAAATGAGACCTTATGATGATGTTCGGTTAAATATGAGTTGGTGTTTGAATTCAATTATTAAGGCTTTTGTTTCCATTTCGGTTAGGTTTTTATTTTATTATGATATGTTTATTGGCATTATAGTTTTATTACAAAGCAGTACTTATTAAAGAGTTACTTAACTTTAATGTATTATTATTAGTGCTTTACGGTATTTATAAATTGAATGCATTATTTTTATTTATTTTGTTATCTATTTTTTTTAATCTATCATTACTATGATCAATATTGTAGTTTATTACTATTATTATTTTATTTTTTTGTAGTATTATTTTTTACAATTCTTTGCCATTTATTTTGGTTATCTCCCTCAGCTCTGCAGGTGCAGGTGATCAGAGTGACAGAGCACCAGTTCTCCACCTATGCAGAGCTGCAGTGTCGCAGCAGCTGCAGTCCGGCTGCCGGTCTCTACGTCTGGTTCAAGAACCTTCAGAGAAACACGACGGAGGAAACTTCTAATTATGCAGATTTATTTTATTCCGGAGACAACATCTCCTGCGCTTTCAAAGGACACGAGGCTTCCCGCTCTCCATCACTGTGTGAGTTTAAACACCGAGTCATTAAAGGTCTCCTATCATGCAAAATGCACTTTTTGATGTCTCTTATTCATAAATGTGTGTCCCCGGTGTCTCATGAGAACAAAGGTGTCTCTCTTTACCTCGGTACCCACGTCTCTAGAAACGGGGGTAGAACGGAGCTGATCCAGATTTGCGTCCGATATGACGTAATATCAGCAGCTACTGACCCAGAATCAGCAGTTCTCTAACAGGGCTGAAATAGAGGGATATGAGGGATGTCTAAAATGGGTGATATGTTTGGTATTTTGAGCAAAACACATCATAGAGATGTTTTTTTATATATTTGTATATATCTGAGACTCATAATATATGCCCAAAAATAGCATGATAGGAGATCTTTAAAGTAGATGTTTTGAAGTGGGGTTGTATCAAAATCAGAAATCCTTTACTTGTCCCACAGCAAGGAAAGTGTGTGTGTGTGTGTGTGTGTGTGTGTGTGTGTGTGTGTGTGTGTGTGTGTGTGTGTGTGTGTGTGTGTGTGTGTTAAACACAGTAAAAGATAAGGAAGTACTTTATTGATCCCAATTCTAGATAATTAAAAATGAAAAGACAAGAAATAAACAATCCAAAATGTAAACATCTCAAATATAAATAAAATAGCATTAAAAAAGTAGAAAATAGACTTGTTGAAAAAAAAAATTATGTACAGTAACAAAATATAAAGCATGATATTATAAACACATTAAGTGTGTAAGGAATGGAATATCAAACATTAAATGGAATATAAATGTAAAATTATAGAAATAATAGATGGCAATTTAGAAAAGCTGACAAATCAGTGCAATGCTATGGACAGAGACAGCATGCCTTCATATGAACACTTTAGAAAGATGTTCCTGCTGATATGAAACTTTAACACTTCCTATGTGAGGTGAAATGATCCCAGAGTTTCAGGATCAGCAATCTGGACAGCGACTGTGACTACTGGGAACGATCAGGCCATGATAACGTTTTATCCACAAATGATGAACTAATAACAATGTGAAAATATATTTTGTTCATTATATGATCGTGTTTATGTTAGTTAATGTTAACTTCTTCTCCTCCAGATGCTCCAAAGCTCCCCTCTGTGTCAGTGAGTCCCTCTGCTGAGATAGAGGAGGGCAGTTCAGTGACTCTGACCTGTAGCAGTGATGCTAACCCAGCAGCTAACTACACCTGGTACAAGGAGAGTGGAAACTTTGCATCTCT